GGCATTTACTCCAACTGATGGACTCCAACTAGGAGACTATAATCTTAAAGTACTCAGTCACTTGCCTTCTCACTTGTTTTGCATCTTAATTAACAGTACAGTGGACTATCTACTGCACTCCCTGATAATGTTCACTTGCTGACACTTGAGTATTTGGATAAATCAACAATTCTCCTTCGTTTGGATCATCAGTTTGAATCTGATGATCCTAAAGAGTGGTCTGCTCCTGCATCTGTTAAACTAAGTGTAAGTATTATTAAAATGGATTATGCATGGTGTCTTGAATTACCTAAAGGATTTATTTGTTGCATTTAAAATCAAAGAAGTAACAGAGCTAGGGTTAGGAGGTAATGTAGCTTTATCTGATATAAAGAGACTACAATGGAAGACAGTTGAAGGTCAAACAGGTATGCATATAGACAGACAGTATAGAGTATTATGATTGTGTACGTGTATTTCTAGTTCCTAGTCCTATGAATTTGCCTCCTGTCACTGCTCCTGATTTTACTGTATCATTATCTCCAATGATGATCCGTACTTTTAATGTGACTGTTGACTTCAGTGGGGATGCAAACCTTCAGTACAATAGTTATGATAAAATGCTGTAAATTGGTGCCACTGTCTTTTTTGTACTGACAACATTTATGCTGACTCATTTTTATACATTTTTATGCATGTACATTTATCACTGTTTGATTTTATCATACATGAACGTTAGATAGGACTTTTGGCTATTAGTTTTTATGTAATAATGCCTTTTAAAATTATTCATACTTTAAATTAATCTTGCACGGAACACATTAAAATCACGTGTTTCCTTGCACCACTACCACCAGATCCTTGGACATTGCTGCGCTAGTTTCCTCATAAGGTCAAGGCGGCAAGGTCAAGGATGTGCTACGCGAGACTCGTTCAAGGAATGGCTGTCATTTTTGTCCTCACGTTGTCCTTTCTCTGCTGTTTCTTTCAAGAGGCATCAGCTTATCCTATAGAAGAAAACAAGGCCCTCCCCCTCAATGTTCATCTTGTAGCGCACTCGCACGATGACGTTGGCTGGTTGAAAAACGTTGATGAATATTATTATGGCGGTAAGCAGTGTCTTTTGTAATAGATTTATGTTATTATACTTTATGCATATAATAGCTAAGAATGACATACAGCATGCTGCTGTACAGTACATCATAAGCACTGTAGTTGAGGAGCTATCAAAGAACAAGGATAGGAAATTTATCTACGTCGAGATTGCTTTTTTTGTTAGATGGTGGAATGAACAGACTGATGATGTTAAACAGCAAGTGAGGCTTAACATTATGCAATAATATTACAATAAAGCTTGCAACATGTTGCATGAAATAGGAAACAGTACTATTTCATGCAAGCTTCATTGACTCATGCATAAACTGTGTTGCATGCAACAAATGTTGCATAGTGTATGTTGGGTTTAAGGTTCCAGCCTATGAATTAAGGGAGAATTGCAGAGAATTTATGCATAAGTCTGTCACTTGCAGAAAATCTAGTGCATCATGTATTGATGTTATGTATATGAAAAGGAAAACTCTGTAACGTGTAGCTATATGTATCTGATCTACCCCTCTCTTTTTGTTAGGTTCATGAATTAGTAAAGAGCGGTCAGTTAGAGTTCATTAACGGCGGATGGTCCATGAACGATGAAGCAACAGTCCATTACAATGGGATGATTGATCAGATGTCATTTGGGCTAAGGTTTCTTTCTAATACTTTTGGCATACGTCCAGTAGTTGGTTGGCAAATTGATCCTTTTGGACACACTGCCTTCCAAGCCACCGCTTTCTCACTGGTAATCGTTCATTATTTTAATGTTATTCTCACTTCTTTCTCTCTCTCCTTCTCTCTAGATTGGTTTTGATAGCATGTTTTTTGCTCGTAATGATTATGCTGACAAGGCACGTCGTTTGAATACGTCTGAGATGGAAATGATATGGAAGAGTAGCCAATCTCTTGGTGATATTGCTGATATATTCACTGGAGTTCTTTATCATCACTATTCACCACCTCCTGGCTTCTGTTATGACTCGTTCTGCTCTGATCCTCCCATTCAGGTATTTACCATTGACCACACCCACTATGAATGATAATTAATGATGTTTTATTAAATGTTTTGTCATGATAGGATGATGAGAATTTGTTTGATGACAATGTCAAAGAGAGAGTCAACGATTTTATTGCACTAGCCCTTGAACAGGTACGACTTTTTGTTCATTTTTATCATTATTATATAATATTTAAGGCTAAGCATTTCAAGACTAATAACATTATGATGACTATGGGATCTGATTTTCAGTATGAAAATGCCCAGGAGTGGTTCAAAAATTTGGACAAACTCATAAAATATGTAAACATGGTAAGAAACTGCAAGCATTCATCACTTTATTCTTCTGCTATTGTATTTTGATGTAGAATGGATCAGTGAATGTAATGTATTCTACTCCTTCAATTTATGTGAGTTATATCAATAAGGAGACACAACTGACCTGGACTACCAAGACTGATGATTTTGTTCCTTATGCAGATGCACCCCACAATTATTGGAGTGGTAATTACATACTTAATGTTTGCATAATAATAATGTTAGGTTCTTAATGTTATAATCATAATAATTACGAATGATGGTGTAATTTTATTTTACACTGTTTTTCTTATGGTAGGTTTTTTCACTAGCAGACCTGCTTTGAAAGGTTACGTGAGGCAGTGTAATGCTCACTTGCAAGCATGTAAGCAATTGGAAGCAATTCATAATGGAATGGGAGACAATGGACCATCTTCAGTAAAACTACGTAAGTTTGGCAAAGAATGAGTGAAATATCTTCTTTTCTTTTTGTAGAAAAAGCAATGGGTCTGGCACTACATCACGATGCTATCACGTCAGTATTATTATTATTTTATTAATAATTATTATTATAATATGAATTAGTGGTACAGAGAAGCAGGTAGTAGCTGATGATTATGCCAAGAGGCTTCACATTGGAGAAGTTGAGTGTCGTTCTGTAATGGCGACTGTCCTCAATGATCTTGCAGCTAAAGGAGCTAATGCACCTAAAATGAACTTGAGTTTCTGTGAATATCTTAACATCAGTGTGTGTCCAGTAACTGAGGGAGGAGATGTAAGTATAATATTATACAACTGACTAGTCTCTCATTAATGTACAGTTCAATATGGTGGTATATAACTCATTGGCTCGCCCATATACTGGTGTGGTACGTCTGCCCATTATTAAAGATACTCTCTCAGTAACTGATCCTGATGGTAATGCAGTAACTGTCCAGGTACATATGTACATGTATCTACAATATTTTTATTATTTTCTTTTTGTGCAGATTGTTCCCATTGATAACAGCACAAGACTCCTTGCTATTAGTTCTAATGATACTGCTGAGCTTGTTGCAGTTTTTGAAGTTGATGTACCTCCCATGGGTTATGCCATATACACTGCTAAGACTACTGGTACTTTAGGTATGACAATCATTCTTAAAGTATTCTTATTGAATATTAATTTTAGATTATACTCAAAGATCAAGTGTGAATGTACAAAAGTCTAATGATGATACAGTGATTAGTAACAAGGTGTGTATTGTCTGAAAAAATCTGACTTTTCCTAGAATATTATTTAGCTTTATTATTATTATATTTCTATTTCTGTTTGCAGTATTATAAAGTTGAGTTTGATGCAGAATCTGGTCATTTGAAGATGATAACCAACCTTGTATCAAGCATATCAAGTACTGTTGATCAGAATTACTACTGGTA